GTGGAAGTGGAGCAATAAGAAGCGCAATCATTGAACATCTGGTCGATAATGATCACCCTATCTCCACAGCCTCCACCTTTAAATTCATCTACAAGGCGAAACGTAATTTACCGAAATCACTACGTATCCAACTCATCTGTATTGCTGAAGTCATGTTTATCCATCGAAACAGAAAAGCCAGATATCTGCATACAGAAAAAATTCAATCAACCCCTCCAACTTTCATGGTCTTAATTCCTCTATGCTAAAGTATGGTAATCCCTAATCATATTTTGCCCCCACCAATTCTTTTCATTTTGTCTATTCAATTTGTATACTCTTCCTTTACTACGTCAATTGTTACTATTACTATTCTCACTTCGAATTGTCCCCGGTGTCATTTCACTTGTTCACTTGTCATTCTAAATCAATTCTGTTTTGCAACGTTAAATTCTATGTTATCAAATTTCACACAATGTTACGTAACGTTTTCATTTTTATTCTATTTGCCTACTAACCCTATAATTGCACATCCCTTCCAAGTTCTATACATCCTATGAATTATTCTTTATATGATAATAATTGTTTTGCCACTTGACATTTAACTACGATTATAATTACAAATGTTCTAATTGCATTTCATACTACTATTATTATTTCATGCATTCACACCTATGACTCAATTCCCTCACCGGATATAACTTCTTAAAAACAAAAAAATATACGATTGTACAGCTTGATAGTAAATTCGTTGAAAAGAGTCTCTTCGCTGAATCACTTGTTTTGATTTTCTATATGTTACAATGGGAATTTTCCATGAATTAAAAAATCCAGATCTTGTTCCCTTATTCTGAACGCAGTGGATTTCCAAATTGATTTCAGAGTAGTGAAGGTTTGTCTCTCTTCTCCGATTCTACCTTTAACACTCTCATTTGTGTCGCTTGTAGTTGAAACGACGCCACTTGGATAAGTGAAAGAGGTAGCTTTCTTTAAATTTCTCTCGTTGATTGTGACTGATACTGGCATTTGTTGGTTAAGTATCTTCATCTCTTGACCAACATAGTTTCTTAAACTCTTGTGTCTATAATCACACGACGCATAACTCTTTCTTAGGCATAGCAAATAAAGGTCTTCAGACCTATGTGTTTATGCACTGACAGAATATTTACTCTTCAGTATCCAGTATCATAGAGTTACCTGTCAGTAATGTGAATTATTTATATTTATATAAAGATAGCCTTTGTTTCTACCAAACTAGAGGTTTCATAACAGCATCTTTCTCTGTACTGGAGTCCCTTAAAGTGCATATTTTTTATAAATCTTACATTTTTGAAAGTTCTCAGTCTCATTCAAGCTTACGTTGATATATCCTTTATGGTGTCTACATTGAATATAGTTAGAAAGGTCAACTTATTTAGTTTATGTTCGATTCTATTATGCATACGCTTTTAATGTGTATTTCTTGATCTCATTTTATACACATGGCCTTCGGCTTTTGAGTCTTTTAAGTTGACCATGATAATGAAATATCCTTGCTGAGCAGAGATACTGACAAAATAAAACATCTATATATTTTAAACAATAACTTGAGTGTTTGGAATGTGTTCATCACCTCTCAAACGTAAACTTTTGTTTAAAAAACTAGTCTGCGAGGATACTCACTATGACTATAGAAAGTCCATTGATTAAACTTGTCAACCACTTTACTTAAGAAACTTCTTTTACCCTGATAGGTTGGTAGCTGATTAAGTCTTAACTCATTCAGCTTTCACCGAATTGTGATGCCCATAGTGTACATGAGTTATCTCATTGCTCTCTAAGGTCCAGTGTTCCAGTGCACGACTGTACCTTTTACCTCTATATTATAACTTCTAAACATGACCATTGAAGGTAAACAAACCTGTAAAGACTTCAAATATTTATATATTTTGCTAGTTAGCTGAAACGCCTATATGAGTTCCTTAGAAATCCCCATTAGCTTTATGAAAGTTGAATAATTCGATGCAGTGATTTGCACGCCTCCACCACTTGTGGTGATTGGGTCATGCGTTGAACATACTTCCATACCACTTGTCCCAGATGGCTACATCAGCAGATGTAGAAATATGTTTGACAGAAGCTGTGGTTTACCAGGCGAAGGATTGTTGTTAATCTATGAAGATACTGACTACTGGCTTGACTCATGTAGGTGATTCACATATCTGTCGAGATCTATAGTTATGAACTCTAGAGAATATAGGTAAAAATTGATATCAGTAATACATATGTACTCATAATCTGTTTTCACGTTCGTTTCAGTACTACACTTCTTCATTCAAGTTTTCTTTTCTTTTGTCGACTCACAGTTGCATGATTTTTTTTTTGTAATCTTCATTATTATTATCTTCTGCTTGATGTGAAATGTCTATGTAGTGCTTCGTTTTTACTATGACTTAATTAAATAGTCTCCTATAAGAATGGAATTAATAACCTTTAGTGGCTTAGCACTATTCAGAATAATCAAGACTGTAAACCAATTTAATCCTAGCGATTATATGCCTTCATTATGAGTTTTGGTTTTCTGAAGATCTCATATTCTAGGTAACAAACATATTTTTCTGATAAAATTTACTGACTGCTATTCTCAAATCAAGTTGAAACAGTTTAAAGTTATTTTCCAAATGCCTGACGATTGTACCAGGTGTTTAAAGGATTCAAGTTTTCTGGTTTCTTGATGAACTGAAGAGTATTCTTCAGGTTATACACGGTTTTTTCAATATGTCAGCTAATTTTTTTTATTCCTTCACTTTCCCAGTGGAACATAGGGCTTCATCCTAGAGGCTTGAAGTTTCTTTAACAGTGTTTATTTTTACAGGATGAGGCTGCTAGCCTCATGCCCAACCTTACCCCTTTACCAGCTTTATTTCTGGCTTAATGACGTAAAGGAGTGCGTCGGCCGGGGATCGAACCCCGGATCATGTGCATGGTCGGTGAGCATCCTAACCACTGTGCCACCGACGCACATGTCAGCCAATAATTAAACCAAATTATGTCAGTCAGTGTTCTCCATAGGTGTAATATTGATCTCAGTGAATTGTTGGCTTTAATCTAAATAAAACCGAGGTATCAACCTTTCTACGTCAGTTTCTTGAGTCATCATTCAGCCTATTTTCTGACAGTTTTCTTAAATATAATTATCACTGTTTTTGAATGCCAAAGTTTTTTATCTCTTTTCACATTATGATGCTCTATCTCCTGAAAACCTCTTACCACTTTGCTATGTTCATCTATTGATGTGCTGCGACAAGCTTGAGTTTAACCAGCTTTTTCTATGTTCAGAATCTGGTATCAAATCGAACTTCTTCTTCTGATTATAGGTAGACCGTCACAAACTAAAATAGGCTTGGTCAAGTAGTCTCTTTTACACAACAAGTATCTCGACATTTATCATAAAATACTCTATGAACTAAAAGAAAGATAACACTCATAGGACATTTGAGATGATGAATCAATTTTGTAATCAATCACTTGATTTTGGGTGTAACCATTCAACAGAGAGGATAAAAAATTGAATTATAAGTGATGTTATCAGTGCTTGGCATTATATATATTACTTAAAATACTAGTTAATGAGATGTGGGCTGTCGCCCTACCTCTATTTGATTTTAACAATTTACATGTACATTGGGAGAACAAGGACACTTTATATGCAGAGAATGTGAAACAGACGATTTCTAGTCCGGATTCTTTAGTATGCAGTAAAAAACTTAAGACTTATGAAAAGGAAACAATGTGGATTGACAAAGGAGAGGAAGATATCAGTTATTGTTTAGTAGTGGTAGTAGTGGTGCGTCGGTGGCACAGCGGTAGAGTGCTCGCCAACCACGTATGTGGTCCGGGGTTCGATCCCCGGCCGACGCACTCCTTTACCTTGCTAAGCCAGAAATAAGGCTGGTAAAGTGGAAAGGTTGGGCATGAGGCTAGCAACCGCATCCTGTAAAAATAAACACTGCTACAGAAACTTCAAGCCTGTAGCTTGAAGCCCAATGTTCCACTGGGAACGTGAAGGAAAATGTAAAATGTAAGTGGTAGTGAATAGTCTTTTTTCCAAAAAATTCACCACTAGCTTAAATTCTAAATTGTTATTATTAGTTTAGGGCATATTCTATGGCGAACTTCTCTATATGAGAGAACCATTGCATATATATATATATATATATATATATATGAAATTGGCAAGTGGTTTGAGTACCTTGATATGATTATGAGCAGTAATTAATTGTGCTCGAGATGTCATCAGTAAATAATACCGTATATAACACTGTGAGACTTTATCAAATAAATTTCATCTATGATAGAGTTAATTTCTTTTCACCTCAATGAATAATGCTCATATATTAATGTCAATTTAACATTCATAGCTATTTCAGACAGTGTATTCATAAATTCAATTCACTTTCGTGACTGAACTCAACCAACAAGTAACAATTTATTTTAGGCTTTTTGGTAGATGTTATAGTAGCATCACTACAACCGATAAGAAACACTTATCAAACATCCTAGTGCTTGATCAACCAGAAGAATAAGTTAACCATGGAATATTTACACTAAAATTAATCAATCATTCAAGAGAATGTTATTTGATTTTCATCATGAGCTGACATTAGTTAGGGAACCATTGAAAAACCAACTAGGAGTACTGGACAGCTGTTTCGTCCTAGTTTGGGACTCTTCACAGTACGCACCCACCTGGATTCGAACCCAGGACCTTCTGGTTACAAGGTGAGCTCGTAGACCCAGTGGGTGCGTACTGTGAAGAGTCTCAAACTAAGACGAAACAGCTGTCCAGTACTCCTAGGTTTTCCAGTGGTTCTCTAACTGATATCAGCTCATGATGAAATCCTCCACTACTAGTATGTTTAGTATTTTTTATATTTTTTATGAAGCATAGCTGATTATTGGTTACTTTCAGTCATCTCCTTTTGATATTACACCATTTTTGTCTACTTTAATTGCTCTTCTCACACTTTCATTCATTTCAGTCCGCCTTACTAGCAGCTTTCTCAGCCGGGATGGTTATGGTGCATAATCCATTGAAAAGTGGTCATTCTAAAAATCAACCGGTCAGTTCAACCTCAACGACAACAGCCTCAACAGCGATAACAGCAGCAACAACAACAACAGCGGCGGCATCAACTAACTCTCCTCATCTGAAAGCTACTAAAAGTACTAGTTCAATCGCATGCGATAAAGACCATCCTGCATCTCATTCTTGGGATTATGAAAAAGAAGAGGAGGATGAAGATGAAAGTATAGGCGAAGATATTAATGAGGTGATAAGGAAACGTAAACATGATCAAGAAATTAGTGAAGCAGACATTGAACAGTACAAAGATGATGATTCCGAGTATGATATGGAAAGAGTTGGTGGTGATAAGTCTATAAGTGAAGGAAATTATGCCGTCGGCTCACAGTGTTTAGATTCCGGTGTACTACTTAGGCAAGGGATTATTTTACGTGGGAGTCGAGGTGAATCACCGGCATCAGTTAGCGGTTTAACGCATCAATCTGGTTTTGGTCATTCCCATGCTCCTATGCCTCAGCCAACTGTAACTCCATCATTTCGTAATTCTGTACAGAATACTAAGTTAACTGATAATAATGAATGTGGACAAAGACAATCGTCTGTATTTACTTCAACCAATCAGGTTGTGGTTTCTTCAACATCACAGAATTTACCAGCTTATATTAATGCACCGAATCTTGTTCAACATTCTGCATCAAAAACCAAAGCAGCGTTGGTATCGAATGCTACAGTAACTTTTGCTGAAGGTGAGTCTTGATTTTCCTTAGATATTGTTTAAACTATGTCGTTTAGATTGTCATGTTCTCTAAATATTGAAAGACAGACTTTATTGTATGCTGTGACAACTGCCAAGGTTAACTTGATGAAAAGCCTTACAATATAAGAAAACGGATACTGTCCTGTGTTCGGCATAGAATAGTTAAGACAAACTAATGTGATATACAGATGTCAGTCATTTATCTACAAACTACAACTTTACAACCTTGTTTTATTAAAGAAACGCTGACATTATAAATATATGCGTTTATAAATAAAATAAAGAGGTGTTTTCTGGGTACAGTCAACTGTAGTATCGTAACATTAGAACATGGTGGTATTTAGTAGTAGTGTAACGGTAGAAGACGAGACACCTTGGTATCTCTATATACCCGAATTATGTACACCTTATCTTCAATGCACCATTTCCACAGATCTTCCTTGTTGTGCTACTTCTCGCCTTCATATTGCGGTGTTTCTTTGTGTTCCTTTCACATCTCCCATGCATCTCCACAACGCTGAATCATTTGCTTTCTGTGAAATGAAATCTATCTCCCTGCTATTTGATGTTTTCATGCCGATGAACGTCTCTTTATATACTACTTACAAATCTTATCAGTAGGCAAAATACAGAATCCCTGCATTGAAATTTCCATTTGCAAAAGTTGTTCGTATTCTACTTATTTTGTCTTCCTTTCATGCATTCTATATGATTTCACGAAGATCTTACATTTCTCCTCTTTGTAACTTAATAAGTCTCTTCGTTGTTCAAGGATCATGGCAAATGACATCACGCGCAAGACACTACTTACAAATTCTTATTAGCAGCACACACCGCAGTATAATAAAGCTTAGTTGTTAGTTTACAGAAAAGGGCACTATCGACGATGTACCTAGTATGATTGTGTAGTGTTCCGAGTTATCACATCCCATGTTTATAAGTCAAATAAAAGGTAATAAAGGAGTAAAGCTGGTGAGAATGAAATCACTAGGATTTGTAAACCAACCTACATTTTGGGTAAAGTATGGATGTGTCAGATGACATTGACAGTTTTTGTACACGGATTTTACTAGCTGTTTTCAACTTCATGGATTAATACGATGTGTATCATTTTGTATTCTAGCGTACTATTGCTTTAATTTAATCTGTTACTGATATAGACAATCGGCGAAAACACATTCCGACTGCATCAGCTGATGCGATTCTATAAACTTAAGATCCGACTTGTCTAGTGTAAAACTCTGTGTCCAGCCTCCATACTGATTAAATGGTAACATGAACACCTGATGGCAGTTGTATGTAGGCGACAAGGATGAAACACCCGAAGTCTCTTCAAATCATTCACCTGCGATAGTCACGTTTTGCAACTCCTATAAACAGTTTCTTATAAACCTTAGCTTTGTAGAAGTACAATACAGTTCCTAGTCTCATAAGTTCCGATTTATTTTTATCTATTAAGAATTATCTGCCAACAGAATTTGTTGAAATCTCCACAGGCGTCGTTGTCTTAGCTCCAATCATACTAAAAGACTTATTTATAACACATAGTGTGTTTCCTCAGATATCTATGTTGTCTTTGTTGCCCTATGATTATAACTTAGAACCATAGTGCGAAACCTAATAGACTATGTGTTGAAAAATGCTTTGTACGAACAGTTGTATACGTCATTGCTCGCTGGTTAGATGATAAGAAACCATCACATTTTAGGTACATGGTACTGGGTTCTATAAACTGGATGAAATATCCAAAAGATGTGTACTGGATTAGAAGACGGTGGACAAAATTGCATCTGGAAAAGCTTCTCTGCATGTAGTTTAATAATAATAATATCAAGACAAACTAACTTTCACAGAGGAGTATCTGTACACAACTACATTCGGTTTCCTTAATGTGCAGTGACAATTTAGTGTTATAATAGTTGCATTTTCAACTTTGGAGGCTAGTATATTCATTATTATTATTTAAACCTGATTCTCAAGAATTTCATTTTGCATACTATACAGAAGACAACATTCATGTATGCGAAACCCTTCTTACGGCCTATTCAAGTACTAGGAAAGTTCTAGCGTAAAATATGAAGATAGGTGAAGTCGTATTCTTCTATGATGTATGATTTGTAAGTACATTGATTTTATACTTTAGGGGTCAGAATTTGTTGGTGGACGTTCGAAAGTGTTTCTTTATTCAGATTGTTGACCACGGTATACTACTGTAGAACGACGAAGTAAAGTGTCACATAAAGGCAAACTAACAACTTAGATAACCTGGTTCATACAGGTGTGAAACGTCTGAATAGTATTAAGATCAGTTAAAGGGAATCAAATATATGGAAATATGCATAACGTTTTCAGAAACCAGATGTATCCTCTTATCCATGCTAAGACAGCTAACATTTATTTAGGCGTTTGAAATCATGGCATTATTCAGTCAATAGCCATATTACATTGGTTAATTATTAGTGGAAAGATGCCACGGATTCCTGTAAAAATTTCAATCTATTCCGTTAGCTGATAATTCAAAATGAATACAAATATAATAGAATTCTGGAGAGCAGAAAGTACACAAATCGTATTGATATAAAACCCACTGGCTCATATAAACAAAATCTGTTTTTATAAACACTTTAGAAATAACTCTATTTAGATGAAATTATATACAAAAGGGCAATATTTTATATTCTAGTATGTGACAGGGACGATTTATTGCTATGGCCTCACCATCGATTGACAAAGAACTCTGTACGCAAATCTAGTGTGTAGCTGATTATGTGTTGAAATTAGCATCTCTGACACGTACTTCGCTGTATGGAAACACTATGAAATGCCCCACTGTATATTAATTTGACTATAAGTGTCTGAGTTGGCTTTCCATAAGAACCACTACTGGTATATTGTTGGTCAGCAGAGTCATATGCTTAATGCAAGAGTGGAATTTGGGCACTGTTGTAAAATATAATTTCATATAAGATACGTTTATTTGACATAACTCACAGTAATACAGTATTAATAACTGAATTACGTTTTGAGCACAATTTATTGTTCATGATCACATCAGTGTACTCATATTGTGGTGAGAGCTGGCTGCTAGCCAAAGTTGGTAGACAGTAATTGACGTCAATGTTTATGTCCCCAATATTGGTGGTGAGAAAATGAGAACAAAGGCTTTGCGTAGGCGGATACAGTCAGCATATGGATGATCTGACACAGCCACAAAGAGATACAAGGTTAACTTTCTGTGAGAAACAACCAATCAAAAGACTGCATTTTCTACTTACTATAATCTACAATAATGTACATTAATAAACGATCTGTTGTCTGGCCCTTGTCTTCTGTTGTTGTAATATAAAGTTGCTCTGTATGAGTCTTTATACCTTCCCTCTTTTGAATTTAATTCCTCATGTATCCAGAACTCGTGTTGCGTCATTTTCACTGAATCTTCTTTCATCGAATTCGAAACCAGTACATGCAACAGAAATGATTCAACACCAATTCTGGATACATACGAAATCTCATTCAGAAACGGGAGTGAGTGTAAAAAAACTGTACAAAACACATTAAGAAGTCATTTGAATACATTGATATGATAATGAGCAATAAATTAGGCTCGAAACATCACGTTGTTACTAATACTGTATCGCTGTGTGTTATACAAAATAAGCTTTTCTAATACGGAGCCAGCTGTTGCCTCCAGTCCACGAAATTCGTGTCCAGCAGGTATACTTTTACAATTCCATATTAAAATTATTCAGCATATATATATGTGATACTATTTTAAATAACAAAATTAAACTTGAATTTTATGAATTAGTAGATAACAATCAAATGTGTTAACAGTAATAATAATAATAATAATAACAAAATCATACAGGCACCTATATATTATAATCTAGGTATATTCAGTCATTGTAGTTGTGTAAGTAGTTTGTATATGTGTGTGTAGGGGTAGAGAGGAGAAAGAACTATTGTCTCATAGTAATCAGACAGTAAATTAATTCGATTTCATAACAGTTTGTGAAATTAAGGCTGAAATATTCAATTAAAATTGAATATGAGAGTTGCTGGTTGAAATTGTGTTGAATTTCTCGTTACCAGAGTATATTCGACTAAAATGTTCCGTCTCTGTTGACATGTCGACTCCTAGTACGGATGCTTAAACAGTTTGGTTCTCTTAGCTCCCAGAATAGATTTTTCATGTACCAGGTTATATAAGGGCTGCTGAAACTACCCAGTTACCCAGGTTGGAGTGGGTGGGATGGAAGTCGAATCTGGGACCTACCGGCTATAAGTCGAGTGCTTAAGCCTCTAAGTTGCATCTCTACAAGAAATTGACAAGAACATGATTTTATCTGGTTGGTGGTGGGTAGCTGTGGATTAGGATGAAATTTGTATCTCTTCTAGCTACCACTTATCAAACTACACCATGAATATGATGGTAATAATGAAGACAATATTTATAGTTATTCGTTGTTAATGGGAATAAAAATTATTGTAGTTGTGTCTGGGTTGAAGGTGAGCGTGGCGGTAGGGAAAGAAAACTCCTTCTGTGAACATAAATTATGTTAAAAACTTTTGATGGCAACTGCCTTAACTATGCTTGGAAATCCGAGACATGCTAGCCTAAAAGAATTGGAGTGGAAAACATTGCTAAGAATGATAATAGGTGAACTTCTATCAATATGATGTCCCTTATCCACTAAATGGGCCTGTGTTGTATAATTATCATAATCGGCAATCCAAATGATGGAGAACCTGTGAAGTGTACCTTCGTCTCAAAATATGACGGTGGATTAGTATGTGTTCAGTATATTCACGGTAGTTTTTTAAACTTACCTAGTTTTTTCTCGACCTGCTTGTTACACGGTGCTGTAGTTAGTTTCGGCTATGAAATTTTGAAACTATGTACCTGCACTCACTCTTGCGGGTGAACCGCTTGAAGTTGTTGATAAGTTTGTGTATCTAAGTAGTTGTGTGAGTGCTGGCGGAGGGGTGACGGATGAGATTTCCAACCGTATAATGAAGTCTAGGGTGGCATACATCAACTTGAGCCATCTCTGGTGCCGTCGCGACGTTAGCCTGGCTGTCAATGGTCGGGTATACAATGCTTCGGTGCGGGCTGTTATGCTCTACGCCTGTGAAACCTGGCCTCTCCGAGCTGAGGATGTGCGGCGACTCTGCTTGTTCGATCATCGCTGTCTCCGCAGGATTGCTTGCGTTCGATGGCATCATCGCGTGAGTAATTCTGAGGTTCGGCGGCGTGTGTTTGAACACAGTGGAGATCACCATTCATTGAGAGTCGTCATCTGGAAACACCGGCTCCGGTGGCTTGGACATGTGCTGCGAATGTCATCCCAGAGGCTTCCGTGCAGGTCTCTGTTCGCTAGCCCTGGGACGGGATGGAAAAGGCGGAGAGGTGGTCAGTCCATGACGTGGCGTCGTGGGATGAAGGATATTTGTGTTAGATTAGCATCGGTTGGTGCGTCACAACTCCCTGGTTGGAGTCCGAGAGATAGCTGTAACCGGATATGGCCAAGAATCGTAATCAATGGCGAACGTGCTGCAATTTCCTTCTTTCTTCCCTTCACGATGATAGTTGACGAATACTGTTTGAACTTGTTAAGTATGACTGTTTTCCTTCCAGATGAAGTTCTTTACCCGTTCTCTACTTATATTTTTTACTTTTGATCTATGTTCTTTTATTATTATTGTGTGGCGCATCCTTCTTGGTGCCATATTGTACCAAGTTTTTTTCTGCGTCTAAATAAATAATAAATTTAAATTAATGGCAGTCAATTAAGTTTTTCTATGTTTATCACATCTCGTGAAGACTGGGACATTAATTGACTAGGTTGGAGTCATATCTGACCCTAGTAACTCTTTTAAAATCTCAATCGTTTTAAATAACAACTCTGAACAGAATTAAATATTCAACAAACCTCTCAAATGTCAACTAGTAATTCACCCTTGACTTAAGTTTCATAGACTTTAATTCAAACTATATTCTTTTTTTCGTGTGAAGTTATTTCCGGTTACGAATTAAAATAATTGTATTCTATTAGACAATCATTATTATCTGATAGGATTCAGAAAGCGTCATTTTAGTGTCTTCCCGCCTGAACTAATTCTTCGGTTTCTGTATTGAAAACATCCTTACAATGATCTGTGTATATGGCTTTTTGTAGTGAACAGGACAGTTTTCAGTAGAATTCGTTTTTGCATGATCGGAGTTACAGTCAAAATATGCTCAGGACAGACTACAGAAAGACATTGAAGTATGTCGCGATCCATCTTAGTTCTTATACTGTAACAAAGAGCACGTGACTGTCATGTTACGTCTATGCGAGAGATGCTTTCCCTATCCTAGGACTTAATGCTGTAATATGTCGTTTACTACTATTAGACACCTTGGATATTTGGAGCGTGAACCATTCAGCCTTGTCGTCATAATCAAGTACGCATGTACTGAATGCATTGCACAAACAACATACATCTATGGTAGTAGAATTTGATCTGTTGGCTGGTGAAACCTACTAATCGGTTACAAAGCAGGAAGTTGAAAGTAATCCTATTTCCGCATAACTACAGTTTTGAATCACAACTAAGCAAGTACTGTTATTAACTTACAAACATGTTTAATGTACACTGAACAGTAATGACATAGTTATATTATTATTATTTATTATTGTTTCCTTTAATTCCTAAAGGAACATATGGCTTCAGCCGTGGGTCTCCATTGCGTTCGGTTCTCTGCTAGAGTATTCACCTGGCTCCATGTCTGCCCACACGTTTTCATCTCCTCTTCACATGACCTCCTCCAAGTCACCCTCGCACTGACGACCAACTCGCCACTCCGCTTTCGAGGGCTTGTCTAGTGATGTCACTTGATGCATTGTTTCCTCAGAGTATGGCCAGCCAATCCATCTCCATTTCTTCCTGCCTATTTGTTTCACAATCGGTTCCTGCTGTGTTGGTTCGCTCCCAGAGATCTTTGTTGCTGATCTTTCCTGGCCATCTGATCTTGAGCGAAGACAACTGTTAATGAAAGTCTGTAGTTTGTTTGAGATGCTCTTTATGACGCGCAGTGCAAGTCTCTGATCCGTATAGTGAGTAGCACTGACTGACTTCACATTGGAGTTGAAAATCCGGATCTTATTTTTGATGCTGAGTGCTGTTAACCTCCACACAGACTTGAGAGTAGTGAAAGCTTGTCTTGCTTTTCCGATTCTTGCTTTGATATCCTCGTCACTTCTGTCCGCCTGTAGTTGAAACGATGCTTCCCAGGCGGGTAGGTGAAGGAGGTTGTTTCTTTCAGGTTCCTCCCATTTATGCTGATCATTGTCTGTTGTTGTTGTTGCTGTTGGTGGTTTTGCCCAGGAATCTTCATCACCTCTGTTTTCTCTATGTTCACCTGAAGTCCTATCTTCTCTGGATGCTTCTTCTACCAACTTGTTGCTTTTCGCTTGCGGAAAGCATGACATTAAATAGCATGATTTTGATATAACTACAAAATATTTCAGTACTAGAGCTTCAAGGGTTTTTGATTACTTGTTCCATCAGTGTTTTGAGTTATCTCCATCTTGAATCTAAAATGACACGTTAAGATCACCGAAAAATTGGGTTGGCAACTTTTTATCTTCTAATTTAAAACTCATAATCAACCCGAATAGTAAATAGCGAGTACTGTTTATTCACCATATTATACACATTTCCAATGGCTGGATTCGCTAACTGCGAATGTTTTATGACGATACGACTCTACTATCCTTAAAAATCGTAGCATAAGTTTTTTTTTGTATGTTTAAATTAAATTTGCAATTTACACAGTTCGAGATGACATTTCACCAGAGTTTTCTTCGGAAATCAAAATTATTCAGATTACAGTATGTGATCTGCTTGGTAATCAAGAAAGTAAACATAAATGTGTGACGCTATATACTACTGACTAATTGAAATGAGTAGTTGAAAGCTTTTGTTATCTCATTATTGACTTGATTGACATGACATACATACTGATTACCTTATAATATGCTTTGTGGGGTATGTCGATGAAACCATTAGGTTCAATTTTATTTGAAGCGAAGCCGGAAGAATATTAACTTTTGTTAAGTGAAACACCAAATATTCATCTCTTAGCCGTCTTTGACCACATATGTTTGTGTTCTATCTCCTGTGTTAAGCGGTATAATGCTGTGAGTAATATTGAAGTCAGACCTAGTGTTAAGGTAAGAGGACAAATCGATCGATGAAGTTTTGAAGCCACATCGATTGAAATGGCTATGCATGCCGAGCCACTGCGTCTCCCTCATCGAACAATGTTAAGCTGACATATGATTAGTTTGGCAAAGTGTTAGATGTGATCAGGTCGAAACCTGGCATCAATCCGTGAAGTCCATGACTGTTGGTTTAACCCATGTGGAGAGATGTAGACTACTTGGTGGTTAGAGTGGCAAAAAAAACGAATAGCTGGAGACTATTAGTGACATGGCTCAAAATCGTTCTCAATGGTGTAGATACACTTACTCTTTGTAAATACCCAAGCTTATTAAATCCTCATATTTTCCCATGTGATTATTCATTCTATCCTCCTGTACATTTATATTCATTATGGTTCTTTTAAATTTCTTCTTTTTCTCTAACATTGTGTGTTATATGGAATTTGACAACTTGGAATGCTGAACTTTGTGCAAAACTCTACGTTGAAACTCAGTCAGTAGTCAGTCATGTATGCCAACTTACTGAAAACGAGTTTAACAGATGTGCATTCTGTTTGACTTAACATTCTTTTCGTTATTTGAATCATTCATCTAAGTTGAGTCAGTCTGTGTACTCAGCTGATGAACCCGTTCTCAAGTAAACACAAAGGCCACATGGTGTATAGATTACCTAAATCTTTCCAGTGATCTATGAGTGATTTTCAACCACTTTTTTCATTGAATACTACTCATTGAGTTGTATAGATAAAAATTTGTGGTCTTAATATATTGCTTTTCGAAGGAAACCTGGATATTGGAGAATTTCGTATAACATCGCATAAAGTGGATTCGTATAACTCAATTATTTGAGAATACCCCATTAATGAGATATATAAATTGTCAAGTATTGGTTTTGTAAGGATTTTGTTTTATTGGATGGAGGATTTCATCATGAGCTGACATCAGTTAGAGAACCATTGGGAAACCAACTGGGAGTACTGGATAGCTGTTTCCTCAGTCCTAGTTTCGGACTCCTCAACAGTACGCACCCACTGGGGCTCAAACCCAGGAGCTTCTGGTTACAAAGCAAGCTCGTAAACCATTCAGCAGCCACTGGGACCCGATCCAATGACCAGTGCATGAATTCTAACTTCTGCAATTTCTTCTTCGATGAGTCACTGCCTCACCTTCAACCTGCTGTACCCTACTGGTCACGGCTTCCAACTAGAACCCCAGGTAACTGTCTGAATAGGGTCAGTTGCTAGTGAACTGTCCAGTACTCCCAGTTGGTTTTCCAATGGTTCTCTAACTGATGTCAGCTCATGATGAAGTCCTTCACCCATATATATTAATTGTCTTAGAAATTGTGCTTTATTTCTGCATTACACGATGTCTTTTCTCTTTTTTTTCTCTCCACATTTACTGACAATCACACGTTAATTTTAGCCTCACATACTGATTTACCAGATGATTATACAGCACCTAATGCTACTGGTTCCCCTTCACCTGCACCAATACCTATCAGTCAAAGTTTAACACCTGCATCAAGTAGTCATCGTATTATAACATCTGGTGTAAATGTTAATATTCCTGGAGGTCATCACCATCATCATCCTGGAAAATCTTCATTTCTACCAAACTCACGTTTAAATAAACCTACATTGATCGAAGGCAGAAAACAGCTGCATCATACTGAAGTCTTAGTATCAATGAGTAAATCATCTCCTGATTATGATAATGCTTCTCGTTCATCATCATCGTCGACAACAACAACACATTCTTCGAATGAATCATCATTTCATCCAAGTGGTAAACCATTGCCTGGAAAACACAATGTACCCACTGGTATTGGAAGTGGTGATCAAGTTTGGAAAGCTCCCAGTTCTGAACGTGTTGTCCGGTGTGTTGAAACAATCATTATGCGTATTCGTAATCTGGTAGAGGTAAGAATATTTGAATTTGTATATGTAAATAGTGTTTGAGCTCATGTACCAGGCTACCAGTCACACTTATCCTATGATGGCTGATTATACTACTCAGTTGCCCAAACTGAAATAGGTGGAGCGGAACTCGAACTCGTGACCCATCAGCTAGAAGCCCCAGTGCTTAAGCCAGTGGGACACATGTCCACGCATAAATAGTGTATTTTTTGGTTTGTTTACAAATGTGTACATGTTCAGTATTTAATGTTTTCCTATACAATCACTAACCACGTTACTACTGTAACGGCAGAAGGCAAGAGTCAGGCAACAGATTGTTTATTAATGAAATCAACACATATTTATAGATTTTCGTGTACATTATTATAGATTATTGTTAGCTGACAAACACAGTCTTCTGATTGATTGTTTCTCACTAAAAGTTAATCTTTCATCTCTTTGTTGCTGTCTCTTGAGTGTCGGATCATCTATCTGCTAATTGTACCCGCCTACACACAGTCTGCTGTCCATCTTTGATCTTGTTTTCACATGACTGATATTTGAGACATAAACATTGACGTCAATTACTGTCTACCAATTTGGCTAGCAGCCATCTCTCACCACACTACGAATAGAATTTCACTAACGACGTATGAACTGGGCAAATTGAATAGATTTCTGTCCTGTTTGTATGCAATGTACCCAATATATCTCTGTGAAACATCAGTCACAACTTTAATAGTTTAATAATGCTGTATTTGGCTACGGCGGTAGGCGATGCCGTTTAAAATCTCTTGGGGAAATTGGTCAGCGTCGAGAGATTGTAAATACGCTGTCAAGGAACTTAGCCCTAAGTTCCTATTGTAATGAAGACGTAGGCGATTGAACCGATAAATACTATGTATGTACTTCAACTTTAAATCCAAAACACCAGTATTCCTTGAACGAAATTATATTGTTTGGCAATTAAAGTTAAGACAACTACAAAGTCTACAAACAAATGTTAAGTACAAATGAAGTTATAAAGTACTTTTATTCGTATTTGCTCCAGTCTTCATTCAACTTGCAAGCGATCGCACCATTCGCGCCTTCGAGTTGCCCACCAATGGCTGCCAGTTCCAATAAACAAACGTTCAATGTTCACGTCCATTGACATACGCCTTGCTGATTGCAGGCATGGGATTTAGATTCACAGCATCCTGGTGATTACCTTCAACCAACTAACGTAAATCTAAAGTATACCGTGATTTCTGGTCTCCTAGTTTGGTAATGAAATGACAAACTCGTCGATAAGGAGTAGGTAATATGGTACTGATTACTCTCCAATGATAAGTCAGTTCATTAAAGTTGTCTATGTATTTATACTTTCAATAAATTACGACAAATACTGAAACATTTTGTGCATCAAACATTAATCGCTGCAGTCTTAAATTATCAAAAAGACAGCCTACGAAGAATCTTACTGACTAATTGCTCAGATTTAGTATTTTCTAGGCAATCAAAATGTTTGTATTTATTGATTTATTTCTCCATATATCACTTTTCTTTTCCCTGATACAGTTTGCCAACGGTGATCGTCGTGGTAATACTGCACATTGTTCACGTTTAATTCAATCAGCTATTCAAGATTTACTGAATTTATTCCCTCCACATGAACTTCGACCTGTTGAAGTAGAAAGTGCTTTGAATGATTTAGCCTCAGAATCACAAAATTTACGAAAACACTGTGAACAGCTCTCTTCTGCATCTGATGGTCCTGATAGATTTGAGATAATGACTTCAACGCAAACATCCAAGACTACTGTTCATAATAGTAATACTGGTAGCAATAATAATTCTCGACCAGTTCCAACAGAAATCACAGTGCTAATCCGTCATGCTCATCATATTGCCAGAGCTGCCAAAGATTTACTATCACTTTTTCAACGAATTGATCAGTAAGAAAAAAAAGTTGTGAATTTTCATCCTCACTGGCTGTTTCTTTTTTGCTGTTGTTGTTGTTGTTGTTGTGTCTTATATGTGCATTAATTAGTTCAACTTTTTGTTTTATTCAATCAAAACTAAGTGAATCAGAATTAGGCGGACATTTTAAAAAGTAAAAGCGCTCCACAGTAATTTGCAGCCATATTATGTCTAGTCAAAGTGTGTGTACACAAAATATATATATATGAAATATTGTAATACAGTTTAACTTTTATCTTCCTTTCATCTTTTTTTTAAGCAAAAATAAGCTTTCACTTTTATTTGTTTGTTTGTTTATATGTATACGATTTTGTTGACTTCACTATAATTAATTTGTTTTCTCTTTTTTCTTTAATTTATTTTATGATTATTATTATTATTTAAAAGAGAAATCTTTATTTATTTTATGAGCCACTGTGTTTTTTTTAAACTTGATTTTAATTTGTCTCTTTTTTTCTGGTGTATTTTTCTCTTGTATATTTATTATTAAGGACCATGTTGCTTTAGTTGTTAAATAATCAGCGGGGGCCGGGAAGGGGTGGTTGGAACACTAATTTGTTTAACTTCAAATTTTAGGAAAAAGTTACACACCTTCTTTGGCTTCCTATGAAATATAAATAATAATGAAATATAATTATTTTTATTAATGTGATTAGATTTTTCTCTTAAAAATAAGAATAAATCATGATTCATCAGTGTTTGCGTGTCAATTGTTACTTCATTCCTCGCTTACCAAGTGGAATATAGGACTACGCGGTGGGGTTGCTGTCGTTGCTAGCCTTACTCCCAACTTTCCTTACCTTTCTTCTAGACTTACCATCGGCTAGTAAACTAGGCGAGGTTTAGGAGTACGTTGGCCGGGAGTCGAACGCAGAACGACTGACATGGCTGGCGGCGAGTAGTCTACCATCATGCCACCGACACTTTTACACCAGTTTATGTAGGAGTATTATTGAATTTAAAGTGAGACAACTAAGAGTAGGTGAACTACAGCGATAGGTCGAATTCGTTATCTATTGATATTTAAATTTCCGAGTATATTTATGCATATATATATATATATATATACATATATATATAGAGACGAGAATCTGATTACAATTTGTATATTGTATTGACGCAGGTAGCTGGAGTGGGTGTTTTGTGTTCAGTAAACTTAATACAGTACGTGGTAATATTTGCAATAAATGTGAATAACCCTCATATTGTTTATGTAAATCAAAATTCAGGAACAGTGCGTCGGTGGCATAGCGGTTAGGACGCTCGCCGACCATGCCCACGGTCCGGGGTTCGATCCCCGGCCGGCGCACTCCTTTACCTCGCTAAGACAGAACTAAAGCTGGTGAAGAGGAAAGGTTGGGCATGAGGCTAGCAACCCCATCCTGTAAAAATAAACACTGCTACAGAAACTTCAAGCCTGTAGCTTGAAGCCCTATGTTCCACTGGGAACGTGAAGGAATAAAAAAAATTCAGGAACACCTACATCATCAGTCTTATCTCAATTAGGCAATCGATGGCTACAATAAATATTTAAATCAGCAGATTCACATCACCTATAGTAATAATGGTTGAAATATGTATTCCTCCACCTGCGTGTAGTATATCTCCTTTCATATATCACATATTAGTTGTAAAATATAACTAGGTTTATGTTAAGTATTAGTGTTAGAGGGTGGAGGTAATTAGCAGGAAGTTTTGTGCTTATTGGCACTCGTTAGCAAAGCGTATCTGCAACGTCGAAGGGACTACCACCTGATACCCCCTTGGAGATTCAAGTCCGCGTCACCAAGTGCTGTAGTCAGAGTAATCACTGGTGAGTTTTCCTGACTCAAGCCCGATCTTCTGTAAGGCTGTGGTGGATATATTGATTGGAGTCTAGGAGGTCACCAATCAATGTATGTTATGTGTAAAGAAGTACATGAGGGATTCAAAAAACCACATTTACATTCCAAAATTATGTATGTATAAATTATAATCATTTTGTCAATATAATGACTAGTGTATGTTTCAGTAGGTGAACCGTTTTAACACCAAATATATGAGTGGTAACAAACTCCAACTTAATCCTTTTTTTAATTTTACTTATTGTTTTGATGACTGCTTTATGCTAAACGAAATTAATAGTAGCCTCGATCATTGTATGTTACTTTCGAACAGTATTGTATAGGTCGTGCTTGCTTTAAAAAAATGTGTTACTAAAGAAATTTATAATAAGTGGAAGCATCCAGATTTCATTTTGACTAATCCCTTGAAATCTGGCGCGGAATTATGCTCTTGCCCATCCCAAGCAAAATACTAAGCCGCATCATCCTGGAGAGAATCAAACATGCCAACCTGGATGAAAAACTTCGACCGGGACAGGCTGGATTCAGGAGAAACAAGTCATGCATTGATCAGATCGCCACATTACGGATCATCATTGAACAGAGCCTGGAATGGCAGTCACCTCTCTATCTCAACTTCATCGACTTTGAAAAGGCCTTTGACAGCGTCGATCGAGAGGTGCTTTGGCAACTACTTCGCTACTACGGTGTGCCATCGACAATTATACATCTCATCCAACAGCTGTACGACAATGCTGCATGCCAAGTAATCCACAACGGGAAACTTACGGAATCCTTCGAAGTGAGGACAGGAGTAAGACAAGGCTACCTACTATCGCCGATGATTTTCCTGATTGCAGTAGACTGGATAATGCGACAGACAGCGGGCAATGAGGAAACAGGCATAAAATGGACTCACACAAAGAAACTTGGGGGATCTGGACTTCGCCGATGATATTTGTCTGATTTTCCACAAACTGGAAGATATGCAAGCGAAAAGCAACAAGTTGGCAGAAGAAGCATCCAGAGAAGATAGGACTTCACTTGAACATAGAGAAGACAGAGGCGATGAAGATTCCATCAACAGCAACAACAACAGACAACAACCAAAATAAATGGGAGGGACCTTAAAGAAACAACCTCTTCTACTTACCTGGGAAGCATCGTTTCAACTACAGGCGGAACTGACGAGGATATCAAAGCAAGAACCGGAAAAGCAAGACAAGCTTTCACCACTCTCAAGTCTGTGTGGAGGTCAACAGCACTCACCATCAAAAATAAGATCCGGATTTTCAACTCCAATGTGAAATTAGTGCTACTATACGGATCAGAGACTTGCACTGCGCGTCATAAAGAGCATCTCAAACAAACTACATACCTTCATTAACAGTTGTCTTCGCTCAATACTCAAGATCAGATCAGATGGGCGGCCAGAAAAGATCAGCAACAGGGATCTCTGGCAATGAGCGAACCAACACAGCAGGAACCGATTGTGAAACAAACAGGCAGGAAGAAATGGAGATGGATTGGCTGGTCATACTCTGAGGAAACCATCAAGTAACATCACTAGACAAGCCATTGCTCGAGTAGAACCCGAACGGGAAGTGGCGAGTTGGTCGTCAATGCGAGGGTGACTTGGAGGAGGTCATGTGAAGAGGAGATGAAAGCGTTTGGGCAGACATGGAGCCAGGTGAAGACTCTAGCAGAGAACCGAACGCAATGGAGACGCACGGCTGAAGCCCTATGTTCCTCTAGGAATTAAAGGAAACAATAATAATAAGAATAATCCCTTGAAATAAGTTAAGGTAATCTTTTTTTCATTTATAACCTTGTATATTCTAATGGCTTAGAGAAATACTGTCAGCTAAAATACGTTAGGTTCTGTCTGATTCGACATCTGAATATTTGTACACGCACTATGAGACGACCTGATGATCCAGTGCAAGATGTGAAATGTGCACTTCTGAATAGTTATGAACTAAGACGAAATAGCTGTTTAGTACTTTTTGGTAATTCAGTTTATTAGTTATTCCCTGGAGATCCGATTGGAACACAACGCTTCGACAGCATATCTCCACTTCATCCAGTTCTCCGTAGTCTTCTTTAGTTGGCTCCACGACTGCTCATCTTCTCTTCATACGATCTCCTCCATGTCATCCTGAGACGTCCATCTCATCATTTCCCATTCGGTTTCCACTCGAGGGCCTGGCGCGCGATGTTACTCAACGTCCTCCTCAGCGTGTGTCCGTCCGATCTATCTCCATTTCCTTGACATATTTGTTGGGCTATGGGTTCTTGGTTAGCCATCTGATCTCTAGTATGGAGCTGAGGTGACTGTCGATAAAAGTCTGCAACCTGTTAGAAATGCGTTTGGTGACACACCGTGTCTCTGAACCATATAGAAGTACTGACTCGGCATTAGTGTTGAAAATCCTAATCTTTGATTGGACACTGTACTAGTGTGACGTATCTAGTCCTTCTTTGATGCAGACTGAGTTCTATCAGTCAGGTATTTGCAATGTGGCCACCACGTCTCTGACTGCAGCACTGGTGACGCGGGTTCGAATCTCAGAAGGGACATGAGTTCCTTCAAGGTTGCAGATACACCTTACTGATGAATGCCAAGTAGCACGAAATTGGTCAAGGCTTCCTGCGATTACTCAATTATCTAATATCAAATCCTAATCTTGTTCTTTACGTCTAGTGCAACACATTTCTAGACTGATTTCAGAGCAATGAATGTCCGTCTTGTTCATAAAGATATAAGCTGCAAACAGACAAAGGTTAAATATAAATAAATTTTCACTCAGTGCTGTTGTCATGCTAGGTGAACACATCTGTAAACTTGCCAAAGAGAAAAATAAAACTAATTAATAGAACAGTGGCATACGGATTTTAGCGGAGATAAACTATAGCTGCCAATGAATGACCTCGAGGAAAACAACTTGATAAAGGACTGTAAGAACCTCTGATTTTTTTCTGGATAAATGGTGTATTCAAATGTTTAGACTGCTTAGTAGGACGAGTCTGCATTACCATAACTCCCGATTCTAGACCTAGCTCTACACTAAGTCCTACCTAACCACTAGACAGACATTAAAAGCGGCTAAGTCAGACCAGCAGAAAACTCTTGGAACGAAATATACACTGGATTCGCGACTAGTGGCATGATTGCAGGTTTAAGGTCATTCGGTGGCTCCTAAAGTTCATCTTTACCCGGATTTCTCTAGCATACTTTAGAATAATCAGTTATACAACGAAGGTCTCCATTTACGCTTCATACTAGGAGGTTATTTTTTTATCAACAACAGCTTTATTCTGGACAAAACGTATACACAGTGTACAGAGTTCTCAGTGCAATTTATTGCGCAATGTTTTCTCTTCGTGGAGGATCTTCAAGCAAAATATTAATCGACAGTATATCATGTGACGCAACGCTGTTCGACCTGAAGCACAAACCAGTGCCTAATGATATATTTCCCTCGTCTTCTTTATGAAACTCATAGCCAATTAAAAATTTGCCTGAGTATGTTTTGCAACACAATGAAATAACTGAATCACTAAAACAATATGAAACAGAAAAGTTGATACATTATGTTGGATGAAAATTCAGATAACCCACTGATTCATGTAAGTCACTTACTCGGTCTTCCAATTCCTTTTACTTAATTGTGGAAGTTTCCTGAAATTCTACAGCCAGTAGCAGGAAAGTTATTCAGCCATTT